CATAATTGGAGTAAAAGGGTTTTGGACAGTTTAAGACAAAGGGGTTTTGGACAGGACAGTTTAAGCCAGGGTTTAAACCGTGGATTAATCCATTCTGTCTTAAACCTTGCCAACCCTGGTTGAAGGAATGTCACCAAAAAGTGTAGACTTCGCCTACTTTTTATTTTATTTCTTCTCTCAAACACATAAAACCAAATAAAAAAGTTTTTTAAAAATAGTTGAATTTCTTTTTTCCAGGCTAACTGAATGTGTGTATGTATCTAGCAGCTGTATATATAACCTAGATACTACCTCCATTTAGCTTAATGCGGTAAACCATCATTTTTTAGAAATATATGTCTGATATTAAAAAGACAGAATTTATCAATATTGTTCTTATCTGAGTATCGCATGTTGAATTAAAGAAATTATGACAAAAAAAAGTGTTATTATTTTGAACCCTTTTCTTGAAAACTTTAATAAGTATATGAACTACTGTTTAAAAGTGTAATTTCTTTAAACATTGTTTTAATTAACATCAATAATATTTTTTACAGGTTATAAAACCACATATTCCTCTAATAAAATTCAATAGAAGAGGTAAAGAAGCTGCTCAAGGTGACATTTTAAAATAAATAGATATTTTACCTTTTCAGATGTTCTAGCTAATTAGTAAAATTTTGCAATAATATTGATATTTAATTTGGTTTTTGCCAAATATTGTTATCGCACTCTTATTTAGGTTTAAAATTGATTTTGTAGTTCACGATTAATTTCATATTATAAGTAAGAATTCACAAGTTTTTTTTTCTTTATAAATATAATTGTGTTTTTGTATGGCATAGTAGAAATGCAATAACTATTTCCCTAATATTATTTAGGAATTAATAGTAAACAAACTTCTGGAACAATAACTAGCACTCACGATAAAGGAAAAGAAGTTTTTATCTTAGAAGATGATACACAATTGCCTGCAAGATATCATCGGAAGCCTCTTACGCAACAAGAAATAGAATATATAGAAGTGAGAATTTTAATGATTAGGTACTATATTTTAATACAAGAACAACCAATGTTACTTATTGTTGAAATGTTGCACAATTGTCTGAAAAAGATCCTAATGTTTAAGATCCAGTGTTTAACAATGTAAGCAAATTTAGAAAAATTTTCAAAAAATTCTTTTCATTGAATCAGTGTCATGTTATGAACATAATTTATAGAAGTAATTTTAATATTTTATTTCTTAATATTCTATAACTTTGTCATTGGTTGCTCTTTTATTAAGTTGCAAATCATTTTTTTTCTTCACATATGCACATTTAGAGATATAATTACTATAAACATGCTAATTAGTTATTAGCTAATTAGCGTGAAGTTACTTTTTTTTTGGTCAAATGTTGAATTTTATACCATGACTTTTGTGTAATTATACTGTTGTCCAATCATGGGAGTTGCAAGAGCTCAATTTTTTAGGGGGATGAATTTAAATTACACAATCACAATAGTTTTCTAAATTTCACACAAAAGAAAAAAAAATTACTAAATGTGCTAAGTACCCACAAAAAGATATATTATTTTATCTCTTTATTGTTTTTAACTTTAAGAAAATTTTAATTCACAAAATTTTTTTTGAGTTGTCTCAAATAATGACGGGGACAGACCAACTGTGACCTGCCGAAAACGACTCCCGTATGTTCAGCTCTACTAATTTTACAGAAGTTCTTTCAAATTATATATAATTTAAATTTTTAAAAAAAGAAATACGTCTTGAGATTTTGGAAAGAGAAAAAATTAAAAAAAAATCATGGAAGAATTTTTACTCATCATATACAGTAGAACTTCGGTTAGCCCAGGTTTCTGTTAACTGAATTTTTTTTCTTCTTCCGAATGAGCCTTAAAAAAGACCACACTTTTTAGTTCACTGTCTGGTTCTACTACCCCCGAAAATACTCAACTTCCAAGAAATATTGCACCCTGAAAAGTCAACAGCGACAAAAAATGCTTTGTTTCCAGTGGCCGTGTGACCCTATTGAACACCAGGTGCAATGTGTTATTGGACTGTACTTTTGTAACGGAATATTTTAAGAAATAGAAATGTAAAATTAACAAAATAATGTAAATTAAATTTAAAAAATACAATAGTTTCTTGAGATTTGTAATTTTTTGAAAATGCATCTTTTAGTTTAATCTTAAAAATAGTTTTAAAAAAAATTTGATTTGCTTTTTAGAATGTACTAGTAGTTGATTTCCTCTTTGAGTTTGTTGAGTTGTGAAACATAACTTTATATATATTTATTTTTTATCATTTAAAAATGTTCTGTTATTTATTTCAAAAGATGTTAAATTTGCGAGCAAGGCGAGTTTTTATACACAGTTTCTATTAATCGAGATTTCTGAGGTACTAGTGGTCTTGATTGGCTCGGATAATCGAGGTTCTTCTGTAATTCAATTAATTAGAAGTAAATGTTATGTAGTTCTTTTTTTTACGTTCCTTGTTATTTTATTTTTCTGCATTTAGTTTTTCAATAGTTTAATTCAAAATTGAAATTATTCATTCACCACTAGTGCACATGCACTATTAAGGTGAATTGATCATTCTGAAACATTTCAACTCCGTCTTTGTTAACATGTTGAATTTTAACATCTTTCTTTAGGAAATTTTGTATTTTTGTAGCAGTTGAAAGCTGTTATATATGAGATGACAGGCTTAGAAAAATAAATATAACTCACCTATTAATGTGCAAACTTATTTTCAAATTTTGTTAATTGTAATAAAATACATTTACTTCAAGTTTAATTTTGATCTAAGTTTATTAGATAATAGAAAATAAGTGAGATAATGTAAAATTTAAAAAAGTGAGCATTTATAAGTTAGGAGAAAGTAAGATTTAATCATTGATGTGCACTGCTATCTCTAATATATCTCTTTAACAAAAATATTCCTCAAAAACTTGTCTTATTTCAAGCAAAAATTCAAATAAATTTTTAAAATCTTTGAAACAGATGTTTTTATTTATATGAAGTTCAATTTTTATATTAATTTTTTCATATATAGGCCATTTTTTGTAGCTGGGAATGAACAGGTTGATAATGGACAACTCAAACAGGGTTCCTACGCTACATTTTGAGAAAACGATATCCTGACTTTTGCAGGTTTTTCCTGACCCGCCGTTTCCCACTCCAAAACTTTAATTATTGCAGTTTCAATTAGTCATAATATGCTACTTACGCCCCTATTCACCTTTGACCCTAACCCTAAGTCAGAGTTTAAAACAGGTTTTATGAGAACAACTCTAGGTCAGAGTCCAAAATTTCATTTCACCGTGTACGTAACTGCGAGTTACTCTAACCCAGAGTTAAGTAACTTTAACCTGAAGATATTCCCGGTTAGAGTAACCGCGCATGCGCAGTAAACGAGTGTTTGTTCATTTACTTCGTTTTCTTCGTCGGTATTTTTTATATTTCTGCTCTTTTTCGTTTGATAATTTTAATTGTTTTGAATTTCGATTCTTTTTTTGTATTTTTAACCTGCAGATTTCCCCGGTTTGAGCAAATGCGGATATGAAGGAGATTTTTTTATTTATTTATGTTTTCTAAAGTAACACTTTTGATGTTCCGTTGCTTATGTTCAATGAGGTCAATTTTTTCACTTGATGCAACTATAATTAATTTATATCTTTGCCTTGCATTCTTAAAAATATAGCATACCATAATATTAATAAAATGAAAATATATTAATAAAATGAAAATTAAATAACACTTTATTTTGATG